AAAATAGAGGGCAGTATGTTCTTCCCCTCAGTCATGATCCTGAAAAACACATTTAAAAAAAAACAGGGAAAAGCTTACAACTCATTTAGAATAGCACTGAATATATCTCCAGAGCAAAATGTGCCCTTACAAGACCAGTTTTAACTATTACAGATCCTGTCACAGACCTGTTATAGAGTCACAAGGTACATCCAGTTAAGCATCACAATAGTAAGAAAGGGATATCAACTTTTAACTACTCTAAGTACTTCACAAGAACATTCTGGTAATTGCAAACATGGCTACTAGCAAGAACTCAGGACACCTAAGGAGCTGTCTTGTTCTGTCATGCTTAAGGACTGTTTCTCCTATTAGTAATCACAGCTTTTTAAACCTCTAGGTAACACTAAGATTACACGGCAGTTACAGCTAATTACCACGACTCTGGCATGGGAAGTGTTAAGACGCCTGCAGCTGATGTGCTCCAGCATGAGTTATAAAGCACACACAATCCAAAGGAGATGCATTTTCTCTGTGACACAAAAGCAATGTATTAAAGTGATATGTGTCTTATTAGCAGCATAAATATCAACGAAAAAGAGCAGCCACCACAAACAAATGTTATCAGAGACCAGAATTTTTTTCCTCTCAGAGCACAGCCAGAAACCCGAGATGATACAACCTACACAGGAACACAAACAGCATCAGCTATTTCAGGGGATGTTACTGTTCTGGGAAAATTGGGCAATTCATGCCTGTTTTAATATAGGAGAGTCAAATTCACTGTCAGTTTAGAGCACTGGTCCAGTGCCCTTGTAGCCAGGGATAAGAAAATGGAGCCATAATGCTCATAGTCCCAAGGCTGAAGCCAAGTCCTAGTATTATAGCATTCCCATTAAATAATCTCTGCTGTTCAGATTACAAAACAATTCACATATACTTAAAAAATTCCATCTCAGAAGCATAAAAAGCAGCCAAAGCAATGCTGCAACACAGCCTTAAAAGGAGGAAAAAAGCTCTCTTTTGCCTTTGCATCAAAGGCCAGCAGATCACACGCAAGTAGACAAAAATAAAAGCACTAGACACACTTGTTTTCTGTTGCACTTAAACAGAGCATGGTCCCTTCCCAGAAGTCTCAGACTTTTGTAGTTCATATTTCCCCTACCCAACTACTTTCTTTGTACAGCAAGACAGCAAATGAAGGGAAAAGGACTGTGTATTTGATACACAATACGATCAGGTTAATAGCCACAGTGAGGAATATTTAAATAAAAGGGTTTGATGCTCTTAATTCAAAGGTTTGCAGCAACCACATTCAAACACAGATCAGTGCAACAGAGGACAATAGTGAAAGCTGCCAGTTATGTGCAAAGCAGGGCATAAATCAGATTTACCAGCCTTAAATTTTAGGATTTCATCAACCGTTTTGAGCTAACATGTCTAGCACTTAAACACACATCTAGAACCCTTATTTTCTATACATTTCAACAAGGACTGCCAACAATAGTTTCCCTGCACAACACGTTTAACACATGGAATTCCACAACCATCATATATACCAGTTTAATATTATGTTAATATAACATACAATATACGGGCAACTAAAGAAAAATACATTTTTTTAAAATAAAGCTCCATACCAGCAAGGCATGGATTTTATAGCCATGTCAAACTGCCATCTCTTGAACTCCATCTTACACACTCACTGATTTTTACGGCAATTCTGAACAGGTCACACCTACTGCAGCAGAGAGTCAATGACGGCTCCTGGCTTTGCCGAACGTTTTCTGTTTGGAGAGCAGAAAGGAAAGGGAAAAATAACACCATACACACATCACTATGCTGTCTAGGAAAGACAGGGACCAGCCACATTTCAAGTTGAAACTACACAGTGTTACTCTTCCACAAGCATTTGTCAAAACCAACCAACCAAAAATAACCAAGAAAACCCATGCTGAAGTCTCCCCCAACAGCACATTACTTTCCAGTAATAACAGTATATGCACTGTCAATGTGTCATGTTAAACTGAACCACAGGACACAGTACAATAAAGCAAGAAGCCAGAAGAAGGTAATGCATCAAAAGGACATCAGAAAAATCACCAGACAAGTCCTTCTGGACAAGATTTCACTGTAGTAAAGAGAATTCAGCTTGGTTCTGTCACACTTGGCACTGGTAAACTTTGTATCGTGCAAAATTTTAGCATTTTGTTTTCTCATTAAGCAAGTGTTTGAAGACTTACGGTAAGTTTGCATGCACAAACTTAAGCCTTCCCCTGGGTAAATCCCCCATTACATATAGATACTCCAAAGTTCTTCACCTTCTACCCGTCTTGGGCCTGGATCTTCCTTTTGAAGTCCTTGGCCTCTCCAGCTTCATCAGAGATTGCCTCAAGCTTTCTTCAGTGTAAGCTAAGTAAACATGGGAAAGGTCCACTTCAAAGGGCTAAATAAAACAAAAAACCACACAAAACAAAAACATCGGAATCATTTTATACATTGATCAATGATGCTTTTGTAACACTAGAAAGACTCGTCTCTTCAAAAGAAAACCGAAATTGGACAGTTTCCTGCAGTGGCAGGCACAGGCAGCAGAACTTAGACCTATGCAGTTCAATACATGCTTATAAAGAGTCACTCACATCTTTTTCTTTTTTATCCAGGACAGGCGTCTGTTTCCTCATATTGTTTCCTGTATATGCAACACATTTCTTAAAGAAAGAAAGGTCTGTTAGTAAAATCTACTGTGCACAGTAAAACTGACTACAGCTTTATCAATTTACTTGTGGGCTCAATCAAGCTCCTCAGAAGCTCGTGCTAACATTAGCTTGTACACGAGCCAGTCAGCTAGCTTACCAGCTGCCATTCTCCAATGTCTTCATTCCAGTGAACGTAGTTTTCAATCATTTCCTAGAAAGAAATTAGAACAGTAATTGTTACAGACTTGCACAATCTACGCTCCAGATGCATTTTCCAGAACGTACATACCTAAAGGTCTGGACAAACTGCTTAAGAACAGTCTTGACCATTCTAAGTTTTTATCGGGACAGCCATACCATGTTCAAAAACCCCTATTTACACTCTGAAGACTACAGAAGAAAAAAATACCACTCCCAAATTGTAGGCGTTGGAGTTCCCACTAAAGCATGGGTTTCCTATTATGCCAATGCCATCAGGATAGCAATAAGTATCAAAAAATGAAAGATTAAAGGAAATAGCTTTTATATATTCTATTAAATAGCATGCAACATATTTAAGCTTATAATCAGTTTTCTGAACATTGGGGTCACAAAGAAAACAAAAAGTCAAAAGTTACAAGTTCAGTCTTACTACTTTGTATTAATATCAGACATTAGCAAGCACAACTTCAAGCACAGTGGGAAAAAAAGAGGTTTTGAACAGACCCAGAGCATGGGCACACAGTGAATATACCAGTTAAATACATGGTGAATGTGATTTTTTTTTTTTTAAACCATTAGGAAAACATGCTGCAAGAGAACTGAGATCAGTATATCCCTCTGCTTACAACTCCCACCACATTATACACTGCTTCCCTAAAACAGATTCCATAATCATGGAATTGTAGCCAAAGTTATCAAAACCCCTGAGAAATACCACAAAGCCATTCTGCATTTGTTATTCACATCATTGTGCTGGTTTTGGAGCCAAATGCACCCACTAACTCTGATCTTCTTCCAGTTGAACTTCAAGCAGAAGGCCACCAGGTTACAAGAGTCACTTGACAAAAGCATCTTTTCCTACTTTAACATCACCTGGCTCTAACAACCCAGATAATGGCACAAACACATGAATGCAACCAAGTTGCACCTGCTGAGCTGAGCCACAGCAAACAAAGGCTCAGAGCAATACACACCACCTCATTTGTGCTACAACTTAACAGACAAGTGTCAATCAGTTCACTGCCAATACCTTATGAAGAGAAAAGAAGCCAACTCATTCCATTTGTTAGACAGAAGAAAAGCTAGAGGGCTTAGCGTGCATAGCACAATCCTACATTACAGGCTTAGGTTCTTTGTCTTTACCTGGTAGTCCTGAGGAATGAAGTTGTCTATGATAAGCATCTGAAGACGAAGCTCCCTGCTCAGCTGCCGAATATTCTCTAGTAACCCTTCAATCTCTCTCTGATGCTCTTGTTGCAGATCTGCCATCTGAAGACAAACCAGGCATTTGAGAGGTGTCAGAGCTAGCTTAAGACATGGTAACAGCCTAAAAAAGAACAGTCTTCTGCCTATACAAGGTTTTTGGGGGAAAAAAGAAAACTTTGCTTATAAGTATTAGAATATTTATCTCTGAAGAATAAACCCTCTGAAATATTCCAGCTCAGAGATGGCTGAAAATAGCATTAAGTTCTCAGTTTCATAAAAATGAAACTGGCCTTCTGCCAATCCAAGCTCTGCACCAGCTAAGCAGATGAAGAGTGTGCAGACAAGTTACATCCCTGGCAAGATTTCAAGGAAAAACTCTGATCCCAAAGACAAAAAGCACTTTTCATGAAGCAGGAACTCTAGATAGCAGCCAAAGGATGCATTGATCCAGTGTGACTGAGGAAAAGACAACAAGGGCACCAGGCAGAAAGGACAGACAGCTAAGGGCAGAGGAGCATTTGGGCTGCTGCAAAGCAGGAGATGGAACTGCCAGCAAATAACTTCTACTTTGTTGCAGAAATAACCAGTGTTTTTCCTTGACGTTCTGAATATCTCAGGGTCTCACACATACCCCCTCTCAGCATGGCCTGGGGAAAAGCTCTACAACATGCCCCTGTGAAGCTCTGACACCAGACTTAATTAGATCACTTTGAATTACATGAGCCAAATGGACAGCACAGAAAGACATTTCTAAACATATGGCACTTCTTCCAGTTACAAAGTTGATGCCTTACCCTTCCCAGCTACAGTCCCTCACGTGATCACAGGCTGAGGACTTCAGACACTAACCTCTGATTTTGCAGCCATAAGCATGGTCCAAACTTTCTTCAGCTTTTTCGTTTTCCCCTGTGCTTCTTCCTGGAGGCTGGTGTACTTCTCCTCGATGTCCAAGCGTTCTTGCTGTGTGTAACATTTAGCACAGACATCCACATATTAACATAATCAAAGAAACTATCTGCTATAGTATGAACAAGAGAAATTACTCGAACAAAACAAAGCATTTGCCAAGGGCACGGAGACCTGGCTTAGCCAGGCTGGCTCAGACCCCCAGTGATCGCATTGCCCTACAAGTGAGCACTGCCAGCACGTGGCCTCCAAAGTGGTTAGCTTCTGCTATGCTTTCAGAGTAGAGCCACATTTCATCCACATGAGCACACAACACTGTCCTGCCATTGCTATTTTCAGACAGCTACAGCATATAACCCCACCTCCTTCTCCTCAAGCTCCTTGCGAAGCTGTTCTGCTCTCTTCCTTCGTTCTTCCAGTTCCATATTTGATTCTTCTAGAAGCTTCTCTTGCTCCTCTGCTTTTGCCAGCAAGTCCACTCCTCCCACAATCACCTTCTTCTCCAATGCAGACAGTTTCTCCAACAGGGACTGGTGCTCTTGTCTAGAGAGACAGGTAAGTGTAAAACTTCCTGTCCTACAGTGGTCACAAAGCAGCAGGTCCAGCTCAGTTTTACAGCCCAGACAGCATTCACAGGGCTGGAAAAACTTGTCTTGCTGCCAAGGGTTTAAGTGGGGGTGAGGCAGTGCAAGTGAATGCAGGGAGTTCCCTGAGCTCCAGCTCCCATCGCTTTCTCGCAAGCAAAACCAGGTCAGCAGAGAAGTCTCTCCCGCTGCAAGTCCCTTCTGTGAGGGGCTGCAAGGCACCAGCGATATTACCAGGCTACCCAAGGCACCCCGTCCCCAAGGGCCCTGCCAGCACAGCAATGCCCAGAGGCAGCTGCAGAAATGGAAGTGAGTGAACAGAGATCAAGGCAGGGCAGCCAAGATGCAAACCAGGAATGCTGGCTGCTGTTGGAGCAGCCTCTGACTGCAGGACTGTCCTATTTGCATGTGCCAATGCGATCTCAGCAGCTTTTCAGCTCCAGAGTAGAGAACCCCCACACCCAAAATGACATGCTTAGGACTGTGCTGCAGGAAACCTGGCTTGCTACACAGCTATTGCCCACTGACCAAGCAGTACAGCAGTACTGCTGCTCTTCACAGGTCTCCAGGGTTTGGAGGATTCATTTATACTTCTAGGCTACCTTGCACAACTAGATAAAATTAAGAGAAGAAAGAAGTGGCAAAAAGATAAAGTTCACCTTTTCCATCTGCCCTAAAGTCTGAAAGCAGAGTAAGCTCCTCTTTCACTTTGATAATAGCAAGAGCTGATGTTCAATTTATACAAAGTTTGACAGGCACCTCACCATGCATCTCCAGATATCCATAACCAAGTGGTAGATTAGGGAAGGAAAAACCACATGACCACACAAACTGCTCAGAGCAGGGTACTCACTGAGCTTTAAGCAAGTCTTTTTCTCTCTTCTCCAGTTCAGCTCTGGCTTTATTTCTTTCTTCTTCTTCCATATCAAGCTTAGTTTCAAGAGCTTTTCTCTCTTCTTCAATCTTTGCTTGCATCTCTACCATCTTATCAGGGGAAACTTTCTTTTTGCCTTTGGAAGAGATAGGGGAAACAAATTAGTCCACAGAAAAATAAGACAGCCTCTGTATCACAGCATTTTTTCCAAGTTCAGATTCAATACTTGCATTCAATAAAAATTAATTTAATTAGATGTCAGCTCCAAGCTGGGCACAACTCAGTCTTTCAAATCCCATTTTAACATTGACTAGCTGTCACCAGTTCCTACAGAGAAGGAACGCTATATAACTAACACTAAAACATAATGCCCCCAAAATAGAAAACATATGAAGAACACTGGAGAAGGAACATTGCCTAACGAGAAGTCTGAGCTGGGAACTCAGATGTTCTAACTATGTAGATTAGGCCAAATGAAGGAAAATAGAAGACTGCCTTGACCTATAGCTACAAGAGCTACATACTCAAATTTCAGATTAGCATCCCCACCACACCCCTTGTTCATTGTTCTCCTTACAGGCTTACCTATTACAAAGTGAGTACGTAGGTATTTTAAGAACGCGCTACTATGAAAATACAGAGACCAGAGAAATTCAGAACAGCCCTATGAAAAAACCAGGCAATTAAAGAAACTTTTTAACAGTATTAGATCTATGTAACAGTGACTACCCATGGATTTAAAAGTACTGACGTTTGCTGCGACTTATCAATCATGTCTTTACACTGTTACTACTACTACAGCAAACCAGGTACATTTCATAGAGGGTTACAAAGGAAGTGGCCAGAGCAAATCATAAAACCTATCGGCCTGAAGAGTTCGTCCCAAACACCTGTGATTTTGAAACAAAGTGTGAGGCTGCTGCTCTTGGAAGTCACTCTGCAAGTCTTGAGTCAACTTTTGTTGTAATCCCAAGAGTGCCTAAGGCAGGTGAACAGATTGATCCTTGGGGGTTATTTGGAGTGAGAAAGAGAGCCCAGCCTATGTGCATTTCCTCAAACCCACAAGTCTCCCACATGTCCTAAATCAACTTATTCACTACAAGCAAATCCATCATTTTCTTGTTTTGCTCTTCTCCAGACATGAAGAAAAAACCCTGTAGAATCCAGATGCCTAGAAACTAACAGAAGCCGTCGATTGTCAATAATGCATATGGTCAGAACGTGCTCGAGAAAGTTGTTGTTCAATAAAAGACTTCCCTTCCCTCCAGTCTTCATGGCATTCAGCTTTATTTATATTCATATATGATCTCTAGCAGACAGATAAAATGCACTGTATTTGTAAACATGCATGCACATACATACATATGTGTATACATGTTTGTTCATGCACACAAGAGAATTAATTAGTTTTGTGGCAAGGTAAGGACTTCAGCACTACAGCAAACAATGTCTTAGTTTCCATCTGCTAAACTTAGGAATCAGATAAGCATTTATTTCTAGACCTGTGGTGAAAAAGTCTCTCACTAATTAGTCTGAGTAAGAAGCTTTCTGAAAGTGCTATACAGAGATCATCACATGAAAAGAGGTAAGCCAGATAAAGGCTTCTTACTGTTAGTACACATCCCTGTATATTCTCAGTTTAGGAGAAAAAGGTGAACTAAACCAAGTTGTAAGACCCTTTCACAAGCTCTGCAATTGTATTATAAGGAGGCGGAAATCAATTACACCAACCTGCTTGATCTTGCATTAAGAGGAAGTAGAAAGCAAATCGCAGAGAGGCAGCATATGCATAAAAAGAGGAGGAAAGAAAATACATTATTGCTTTGATCATTTTGGACAAAGATCATCAGCATCAGAACAAGCATTAATTTTATATGCATGTTTCTAGAGTAGAAAACACAGGATAATCATCACTTAAACTCCATTAGAGCAAACATGAATGTATCATGATTTTATGCTAATGCAGAAAAAGTGTCTGTACTTCAGAGTGCTTTGCATATCCAGCATAATCTTCAGCTCACTCTTGCATTCTTCTACCCATTCAATGCAATGCAGAATCTAAATGTAACATTATGAGCCTGCCGCAAAGATCATGCCCTAAGAAACAATTAGAGAGGGTAGATTTCTTCTTCAATAAGAGACTTAATGCTTCCCCCCACCCGGCGCAAAATAGCCAATTCTGTTATATTACCTGCAAAATATTAGCATATAGAAGACTCGTTCTAAGTTTTAACTAAGTTTTCAAGCCAATTCTTTGCAAGATACATGACAGTTGCACATAGGGAGTCTCGGCACAAGATTTCTCCATTTAATTACAAAGGGTATTAGTAGGTTAATTTGCAGTAACTGATGCTTCCATAGAGGTATATAGCCAGTTTTGGTTATTCAAGCAAGTGCAGCAAAAAAGGCAGGACAGGAAGGGGATAATGAAAGACACCACATGCAAAAGGGTCACGCCTGAGGACAGTTAATATCCCAAACCACATATAGCTGCACTTGTATCGCCAAAAGCCCAGTGCCACTTCCACAACAGAGCTGTCTCCAACTTGCAGGAGATGGACTCATCCACTCACTGCCACATCAGCAGTTTGCTATTAACTGTCCTCATCCAAATAAAATACTCAGGTTTCAAGCAAGCTTTGAAAGAGCAAATTTGAAGCAAGCAGGTTCCAAGCCTACCATCATATGACCCACCAAAGGTCTCCCTTAGGTTGCAATCCTTCTTAACCTGCTACCACACTTTCTTTGACCTGATGCTTTTCACTAACGTAACTAGTATAACTGTGATGGAACTATATAGCAATACTTTCCAGACTCTCTCCACACAGGGAGGAGAGCGGACTGCATCTATACAGGATAACCACAACAGTGGGTGAAGTCCCTACAAGCCAAGTCCTAAGATGTGATTTATTTCTTCAGTCATCACTAATTGATTGTAGGGTTTTTAAAGGCACAGAGTCCTCTCTCTGACGAGGAGCAGACCAGACTTTCCTCACTGTTAGACCAAAATCTAGATCCCTTGTTCCTCTGAACTAAGTCCCACAGTGATCAAGAACTTAGTGTCATGGGGCAGTTAAACACCAACCACCACCAAGGATTTTTTTTTAAGTATTGCCAAAATAAAGCCAATCAACCAAGCGTTACCACATTTTCTTTGCAAGTATAAACCTCATGTTGTTTGATTGTTGACTGCTCCACTCACTTTCTCCAAAACTAAATTTGAGAAGGCAGAGTCCAATATAACATAGTACAAGCCATTTCGCCTGTCCAGCTGTCCTGTTTAAGAACTCATAGTGTAGCAACTCCCATAAAAAAGTTAGCTCAGACTTTTTCCTGATATTTTAGAGGGCACGTTTAACAAAGAAGTTGCAAACTGTTTTTTTTTAACCTGTTATTTCTCAATTGTCTTTAAATCTTGCTCAAGCAGCATACTAAATTGCTTCCTATTCTCTCACATATCTGGCTAACAATGTGCACATCGAACAACTGTTTCAAGCATGGAAGCAGCAAAGGAAAGGCATGCTTTAGCAGAGTTAAAAGTTCAGGTTTATCTTTCCAACGGACATAGCGGGGAAGAGTGCAGCATTGCAAAATGGAGTGTGCAGATTATGGAAAGGCCAAAGCTTAAAGGACTTAAGAGCTCCCACTCACTAGTGAAGGACTTATCCAGAGGTTTCTCTATGACAGAGCATGTGGAGTCTGAACTACTGCTGCTGCTACTGCCTGGAAAACAGAAATGCGTCCCACAGAAACACCCAGAGAGGAAGAAACATGCAGATGGGAAGTTAGTTCCAAAGGAAAGAAACCCAGAAGGGCCAGCAACCTAGTTCAAAAAGGCACAAGTTCCCATTAGGAAACATTTGCTAGGATCCCTCCCAGACTCAGCTTGCAAAGCCACCATTTCCCAGCACAAAGTAGCATGCTCAGAAAGACACTTCAGTTAAAACCCATCTTAACCAGCCTACAGCTTAAAACAACATGCCAAGGCAGCTTCCATTTCCAGCAACAACAGCACAGAAAACCAGATCATAGTGGAGAAGGCTGTGGATATCTGCAGTAGCAGAGGATTCAGTGACCAGGAGTCCTTTCCAGTCTCATGTACATGGCAATGTGCACTTTTCCCTCTGGAAGGCAGAATCAGCTTACACAGGGAGAGTTACTGTGCATACTCCTGCTGAGCAGGACTCTTACTTAGGGAACTGAGCTAGAGTAGCTTGTTTGGAAGTTGAGTAAGTCACAGCTATTTGCCCTCTACTCCTTTCAAGCAGCATTTTGAAGGTAGTCTCCTCTTGGGAGGAGATTTGGGCAGGACTTGGTTCTTGATGGAGAGAGTGGTCAATCTTTTTGCTTCCAGAAATTACCAAAAGGTGAAAAATGAAGCTGTTACAACTCTCAAAGGCACGACAAAGATCATTTATGACTCTACTTGGACAGACACCAAAATGAAGATAGTGCATCTAAAGCTGGAATGCTTTAACAGGAATTTTTTAAAGAGATGTGGGTGCTTCAGGACAGGAAGGCAGTTTGAATGTCAAAATTAGTTTACTAGAGAAGCTGGAAGTTGAGGTGTAGCACTGGGCTTGACTTCTCTATTTCCCATGAAGAAACATCAGAGAGGTTCTAGGGGCATAGCAAGCTCCCTGGAAGCCACAGCATCCCATAGTACACAGTGACCTGCAGTTCTAGGTTCAGCAACATCCCTTGGGGTTTAGATGTTACGCAGTAGTTTAACACTGGTGTAGGACAAAGGAAACTTCACCATGGGATTTCCAGAGTGCTCCCAAACAAGGGATGTGCAGCTCCCATTCAGCTTTTCAACTCGCACAAAGACACCCAAAGGTCAAGTTTTCTCTCATCAGCATAAAATAGGACACCAGAAGAGT